AGGAAGGAAGGAAGGAAGGAAGGAAGGAAGGAAGGAAGGAAGGAAGGAAGGAAGGAAGGAAGGAAAAGGGCCAAAAAGCTGATAATGTATTTATTAAAGTATGGTAACTGGTAGGAATGACTATAGTAGAAAGAGCTGCCCTCCCCCAAATCACCAAATGTCTTTATTTATGTTATTTGGAAAGTTCTGAAAATTGAGATGGAATAATTTAATGTTTCCGTAGCGATCTCAGCTGTGGTGCCTACATTCAACCACAGCAGATGAAAAATAAACACGTATGGAGTTTACATTCCTATGCCATTTGCCATACCTTAAACTTGCCTCCAGAAACAGGAAGCATATGCCTTTCTCTTGGTAAAAGTGAAAAGCTTAACTTTGTTGAGACTTGAAATGTGAAATATTTCTGAATAACTATGATTTCATCATGAGTTCACAGGATTCTGTTGGAATCTCTGATATTTTAAAGGATGGCTATATAAATATTTTTTTGGGGGGGTAACCTAAACAAATAAAATGCCAAACTGCTTACTTTGATCACCATGAAAGTTGGTGCAGACTTCACTGATATCATGGATATCCAACTGAAGGTGTAATGAGAGTCACATGTGTAAGCCACATATGTAATTTTACATTTTCTAGTAGTTATATTTAAGAAAGTAAAATTAATTTTAATAATATATTTTCATTAACTCAACATATTAAAATATTATTCAACATAAAAGCAATATAAAATATTAATATTTTCCGTTCTTGATTTCACATTAAGCCTTTAAATCCAGTATGTATTTTTCCTGACAGCATACTCACTTTGGATCAGCCACATTTCCATTGCTCAATAGCTGCTCACAGCTAATGGCCACCCTGCTGGGCAGCACAGGAGATGGAGCACTAGGCACTTTCAGGTCTGTCCTTGACAGTGGGGTTCCATTTGTCAGGGTAAAATTTGTGAATTCCCAAGAACTGCAGTTATATTCTTATTTAAAAAGAAGCACAGAAATGTACCCCAAGGCCAAATGTGAAAGCACAAATACCATGTTCTAGTGGACAAGATTCTAGTCTCAGACTCCCTTCTCACTATGGGCCGCACATCTCTGAGACTCAATTTTCTCATCTCTAAAGCAAAGAGATTATCACCTATTAGCTTCTTGGGGTCTTATGAATAAAAAGAAGTAATTGCTTATGTAGTTTGTCTAGTCTCATGGCTGGTATAAAGTAGGCCATTTATTCAATAAAATCATCTCATTTTATATTATGCTATATTTTGGGGCACCTTTATCAGTATTCCTCAGGCAATGTAGCCATCTAAGAGTAAGTTTCCATTATTTGCATTTTTATTAAAACATGTTTCTACCATTTATTTTGGCAAAATTATTTTTCTTGCAGAGATCACAAGCATACAATTATTTTATATTATATTATAATCATTCAATCTTATCATTTATTGATAACCTCTCTAATTATTTTTAATAAATCATGAATAATGTGTAGATGTGTATCTTTGAAATGTTTAATAATTATTAATTTCTTACTACCGCATAAACACTTAACTAGAACTTTCACAGATTGGAGAAGGGTAAATGGCATTATGTTCCACAGGCAGTGCCCATATTTATTAAAGTTTTGGAAGTGACTCCAATTCATGCAGACTTTTCATCTATATTTGTGTCTATAGGCTAACAGCTCCCTCCAGGATAACTTAAAATAGAAAACACAAGAGGAGACAAAGCGTATATATTTATGAAGTTGCAGTTGAACTTAATCTCAGATCAGTTATTCTGATTTAGTCAAATAAGACCCAAGACTTTATTAGCAAAATTAGGATTAAATTATTGTTTCCAGAAGTTATATTTAAGAGCTTATTTATTTTTATTTTTAGGAAGGAAACTTCAATGTTTTTCCACTATTAAGTATACTGGATGATATGCACATAAGTAAGAGTGAAAAAAATGCATATCATAAAAATGCCTCTCTCTAAAATTTTTATTGAATGTATTGGGGTGACATTGGTTAATAAAATTATATAGGTTTCAAGTGTACAATTCTACAATATGTATATTGTATTGTGCGCTCAGCACCCCAAGT